TCATTCTCCCTGGACAGTTTGCTCAATCTCCTTGAAGAAGAACCTTCTGGTTTTTGCCTGGGTTAAGTACCTAAGCACAGGCAGTTATGTATGAAGGGGCAGGGAAAGAGTGGGAGGTGCTTGTTCTTTGTGTGGATCTTTAGTTAAACCTCATTATTGCTGGTACTTCTCACTTCTCTCTCCCTGCCTCCTGCCATCTTTCACTCCAGAGTCTCCTTGGAATTCTGCTAGCGAGCTAGCTCCTACCCCGGCTGAAGCACAAACTGCAAGCTGTTGCTTCTTTTTTCTCCTCCTCCATTTATCAGACTTTCATATATTTTCCATCTTCTAGAAATTTTCCGAACTCTCTTGGGTAGTCATGATCCCAGAAGTCTTCTTTGGTTATTTTGTGAGTTTGTATCCTTTGTCTGCTTTTTCCTATCATTGTAAGAGTCCAGAAGGGAGAAGAAATAAATATTCTTAGCCTGTCATCCTGAGCTGGAAACCCCATCACTATCTTTCGGAATTTATTAATTCACCAATACTTACTGAACACATACCATGTAACAGGTGCTGGGCCGGGCGGTAGAGATACAAAATTGAATCCGACATAGTTTTTCATGAGCTAGAGGGAGACAGATGTTTAACAAATAATTGTGTTGTAATGTTAGACGTGATGTAGTGAAAGCTCGTATGAGCTGTTTAAGGATCGCAGAAGAAAGAACAATGAATTTCTACTGGTAGCAGAAGGGGAGTCGGAAAATAACCAAGTGTCATAGGTAACATTGAAGAAGTTTCTACACATCTCAGTAGACATATCGGTTTGAAGATAAAGTGGTGTCATAGTAACAGGAAAAAAAAAGGCTCCACTATTTCTCTAGCTGATATTAAACCTGGGTTGGATATTTCCAGAGGCAGAGTGTGGGGTACAGACCAGGCTGCAGGTAGTTTTGGGGAGATCAGGAAGCACCGAGAGAAGGAGTATGGAGGAAGAGACAGGGGGACAGGGGAAGGAGGGAAAGGGAAAAACCCTTGAGCTGGTTGCTGCACTGCACAAACGGGATGCTCTGAAGAACTTTGTAGAAGGCACCTCAGAGTTATTCTCTGAACGGGCAGGAAGCTGGGGCACTTATCTACTGAATCCTGTACCCCGTTGGTTGACGGTTGCTTCTGGAGGTGTTAATTTTCTTTCTTTAAAAAAAATTTTTTTTTGACCACAATATTCAGCTCCAATTTATTTTCTTTCTTTTTCAGGCTGTGGCTACCTGCAGTCACAGTGGCCTCCCCTGGTTTGGGAGAAATTCTCTGAGCAGAAAAACCGGAGATATGCTGGCAGGACTTGTGTTAGGATCTGGCACTGCACACGAAGCTGCTCGGCAGAGCTGTGCTAAAACCAGGCAGGCCAATGAGAGTGGGAAGGGAACACAAAACTACTTGCTGCAGACCTCAGTCTCCCCCTCAGTGATTTGTGACAATGTCCAGGGGGGACTTCGTATGTGATTGCAAACGTGTAGCTGGAGCTCTGTGCAATGGTGGCCGGGACCCCTGATCCCTGCAAAGCCTTCTCAAGACTGTGGTCCCATTGGACTAGCATGGCTTCTCCATCTGATACCCCATCTCTGCCACTCCCATTGGTGCATGTGGCAGTCACACCGTGACAACACGGAACCACCGAGGTGGGGCAAATTCCTTCTGCCTAGCTTTGTACCATACATGCTGACTTTGATCCCCAAAGCATTAAGGCGTTGAGAGTCTGGGAAACTTCCGTGAAGTTCCAAGTGTCACCTGGAAGAGGAACGCTTTGATCTGCGGTGACTTCTTACTGCGTTATCTTGGATCAGTTAATGTGCTTCGTACCAGAGAGCACAGAGTTAAGGAACTATGAAAGAAGACAGGCAGATTTTATTATGGGAATCAGGAGTCTAGACTTACCTGGGATGAATCGGGTGCTTTCTTTTCCTTTCTGAGATCTAGGCAGGGAAGGAAAAGAGTCAGGAGAAGGAAACTAGCATACTAAGTGGCTTGTATGTGCCAGGCATTTTATAATTTTACTTCTCATTTAATCTTCATTCCACTTACCGCACATTACTATGAAATAAATGTTATTAGTTCCAAGCCAATCAAAGCGACGAAAGGTCAGAGAGAATAAATAATTTTTCCATAGTCACAGAGTTAGTGAGAGGCAGAGGCAGGATTTGAATCCAGGTGTACCTAGTTCTAAAGTCTGATCGATGATCTAGCAGCTGGATGGGGGAAAGACGAGAGAAAAATCATGACTTATGTAAATTAAATTGGAGGAGAGCATTTGAAGGGCAGGTTGAGTCACAGATTTTGATTTCATTTTGCACTCTGGACGGTCCAAGCAGTTCCCTAAATTAATTCCACAGGTATAAGCAACCACTGATGTGAAAAGAGCCTGGGGGACTTACCTGGCCACAGGTTCAGTGAGCCAGCAGGTGGCTGGTGCTGCTAAGAAGGGAAGGCATCCTTAGTTTGCATGAATGACTTCGGAGGTTGACCTGTGACACTTTTCCTGGTCACATGCCCTGGAGACACAAGTCTTGCACAGGTTGATAAGGAGTCACACAGGAGACTATATTTTTGCAACATCATTTATGGTGACAGAGAATCGGAAGGAACTTGCCCATCGCAATGAGAATGGAACAGGAAACCACGGTGGGTATCGAGTATAGAATTATATATGGCAGTCACAGTGCAATAATCTAGGTGTCCCCAGAGTTTCACACAGATTGATCTTGTGCTCAAAAGAGCAAGAAACTGAATGCAAGAAATTATACACAATATCACTTATGTAAAATGAAACATCAAACATTATCTTTCAATATTGCATACAGGTACAAGGACATACATTGTGAACATTAGGAGGGGCAAGAAATCGAAATGGGGACCGGAAGGACATGAAGGTGAAGAAGAGGTACAACAGGGTAAGAGAGGGACCTTGCACAGGAGCATGTCAAACTTCTGCACCTCCAGTAACGTGCTGCAAACTGAAAAGGCTCAAACATTTTTTATACAGCAGGACAAATAAAATCGGTGATTTTTATAAACCTAGATGAAAGCATAACTTAACATGTTGGTCTGCTTGCCAGTGTATCTTTTAACATTGCCCATTCAGTATACATTTTTACTGAGCCCACACTGTAGAGTTCTGGGGCTGGTACAGTTCTGACCCAGAGCAAACATGCACAGCCACCCCCATTACCAGCGAGCCCGCCAGAGTGGTTCATTTCCTAAAATGAGTGAACCTACACTGACACATCAAACATAACCCCCAAAGTCCATAGTTGACATTAGGGTCCACTCTTGATGCTGTCCATTCTGTGGGTTTGGACAAATCTCTAATGACATGTATTCACACAGAGTATTTTCACTGCCCTAGAAATCCTCTGTGCTCTGTCTACTTCTCCCTTCTCTCTCCCTAACCCCTGGCCATCTTTAATCATTTCACTGTCTCTACAGTTTTGTTTTTTTCAGACCGTCGTGTAGTTGAAATCATGCAGTAGGTAGCCTTTCGAGAATGGCTTCTTCCACTTAGTACTGTAATAGGCATGTAAGGTCCCTTCGTGTCTTTTTATGGCTTGCTAGCTCATTTCTTTTTAGCACCGAATAATATTCCACTGTCTAGATGTACCTCAGTTTGTTGCAAACATCTGCGTTCAAGAGAATTGCTGGGTCAAAGAATGTGCACATTTTAAATTAATAGATATTGTCAAATTGTCCCGCCAATGTCTGCATCAATTGGCATTTTTTATTAGGTGAGGTAGTTTTGATGTGGTGCTAATAGGGGTATTTCCCAATTATGTGTTTCTCTGAGTCTGGTTAAAGGGATTGGAAGAGAAGGGGGTGGGAAAAATACTAGGAATCCAGTTGCACATTTTGCATGAGCTGAGACAGCCCTGCGTCGCTGCATTGGCGGGGGCTCAGAGCGAGGTCCGATGTGTCCCAGAGGCACGTGCTCATCCCAGCCCAGCGCACTCTGACCTGGGCGTTTGTCCCTCTTGGGTCACTTGGCAAAGGGCCCTGCTATCAAACACCTGTCCACCCGTCTCACGATTATTACTTATCCATTGTTATCCGTGAGTTAGCAGGGGGGCTGCATCTGTGCCCGGGCCAGCACCCCTACTAGGCTTCCGATGAGCTCCCCATCCAACCACCACGGCCCCCCAAGCAGGCCCTGGGGCTCCACCCAGGCCCTTGGCGGAAACAGGATGTCATGTTTCCAAGCGGGGCAAGCGTGGCCGCTTATCTGCCGTGCTCAGTAAGGCCGGCAGAAACATTCTCGGTGACCTTCCTTCCTTGGCATGTTTAAAAACCGTGACCCTACACCCCTGTATGGAGGAGTTAACTGGGGAGTTTGAGCTAAGTAGGGGACGGACATGAAATATTTATGCTTTTTTTCCAATTATTGATTTCTATGGCGTTCAGTTGAATTCCCATTTCCCGCTCTTTGATATCTTTGCCAGATTCCGTGACTTTCTGCTCTTATTTGGGTTATAAAAAAATTTCAGTCCATTTTGGTTTGAAGTGTCAATTTCAGACTTCAGTTTAAGTCGAATCTCCTGTCTCTTCCTGCACAGGTTTGACTAGAGGCCTGGGAGACCTGAGGCTAGAGGGTAGGAACTGTCTTTTCACTCTTCCTGCACTCTGGGACCTCAGAATAGAGAGGGCAGGGCCAGGCAAGATCAGGCTGGCTCTGGGAGACCGAGGTCTCGGATTTCTCAAGGTCAGGAGTTCAAAACCAGCCTGAGCAAGAGCAAGACCCCATCTCTACTAAAAATAGAAAGAAATTAATTGGCTAACTAAAAAAATATATAGAAAAATTAGCCGGGGATGGTGGTGCATGCCTGTAGTCCCAGCTACTCGGGAGGCTGAGGCAGGAGGATCGCTTGAGCCCAGGAGTTGGAGGTTGCTGTGAGCGAGGCCGACGCCATGGCACTATTAAGGTGAACCCTCAGTCGCAAGCAGACTGAGACTCTGAAAAAAAAAAAAAAAAAAAAAAAAAGATCAGGTTGGGCATTGGAGGATAGAGGAGAAATAGTCTGCCCTGAGATGTACCTCCTCCCTGTCCTGGGTCTACCAGCATGTTCTTGGTGGGGGTGCTATTGTCATTTTGGGTGGGACGATGCTTAGGGTGAAACTGTTCTGTACATTTCAGAATATTAATATTTCTCCCCCTTTAATTGCAACTCAAACACACATAGTACCTTTTAGTCTTTATGACAATCCTACCCCGTTTTCCAAACACCTCCTAGGAAGGCCATTCTGCCCTGCTTGAGAACTACTAGAAACCTCCTGGGTTGGTGCCAGGGGAAGGAAGGGAGGAACAGCATCTCCTTAGAGTTCTGGGCTTGAGTCAGTGGTGGGAATCCCTGGTGGTCCTTTGGTTGGATCCGGTTTTATCTGGATCTTTCTACTGCTGTGTGGTGGTCTCTGCACAGTTGAGGTGGTAGAAATTCTAGGGATCCGTTCCCCACCCTCTGGACGTCTCTATTACCAAGAACCACCTTAGAGAGGGGTAGCTATGTCTTCCTTTGTTCCCACCAGTAATCCATGTCCCCAACATTTTCTCTGGGGAAGGGGCAGTCCCAGTATAAATGGGGGGCTCACCCCCTTCACCTGAAAGCCCTTTGGGCAGCCCTCAGATTCTGCTGTTCCCTGTAACTCCATGTTCCTTTATGTGGAGCTATGGGAACTACCAGAGTCAATCCCTCGCCTCCTGGAATTCGTGTCCCTGTGGCTGTGTCTGTGACTCACTGTTGACCAATAGAATTTGGCGGGAGTGATGCTGCAGGAATTCTGAGGCCAGGTCAGAAGAAGCCATTTTGCATTCTCTTCTTGGGTTTCCTGGAGTGCTTACTCTCAGGGTGCTTCCTTTTAGGAACACTCCCTCTTGGAACCCAGCTGCCATGCTCTGAGGAGCCCAGGTAACATGGCGGCCACGTGTTGGCGCTCTGGTGGACAGCAGTCACGTGAGTGCGCCATGTTGGACATCCAGCCCAGCCCAGGCGAGCCCTGGATAAGGTCCAGTTGTCATCTGATTTTAACCACATGAAAGACCTCAAACCGCCTCGCTGAGCTTACTCAACCCACAGAACCATGACAGAGAAGAACAAATGAGAGGTTTAAGGCATGAAAGTTGTGGTGGTTTGTTACACAGCAGTAGATAACCTAAACTATTCCTTTGGGATCAGAAGCCAGACTCCTGGGCTAGAGTTGACCAGTAGGGCTTTGGAATTAGAATTCGGAACTTAGAAGTTTCTTGACCCTCAGTGTATCTGAAAGCTATTTTACCTCAGTGTCTCTCTGCGTCCTCTTCTGTGACAGGGATAATAATAGTACATTCCTCATAGGATTTTTGTGAGATTTAAATATGACAATCTGTGTAAAGGGCTTGGTACGGTGTCTGGCATTTACTAAATGTTTAAATGTTAGCTATGATAATAATTATTGAAAGTAGTGGTTTTATGGAGGCGAACAAAGTTTCTCTTAAAATATAATCATTTAATCCCATTTTTCTTTATTTTTGTTTTAGTCTCTTTTCTGCCAATCCTAACCCACGTCATGCAAAGTTTGTGGCAAAGCTGTTGTGTTCTTTTCTGCCGAAGATTTGAAAGGGAAGATTTTCTGAGTTGATCTGGTTATTTCTTGGGTTAAGGGAATAGGAACCTGCTATTCACCCATTTTTATCTCTCCAAATGCCCTATCAGTTTCGCTTTTCTTTTAGCCTCCTCCTGGGAATGGCTTTTCCTTACTCAAAGGGCAGAGGGAACTGAGCAGGAAATCGATGTCTTAATAAAGATGACAAGAATGAGGGTCATTGGGATGAAAATGAAAACTGACACTTAAATTGTCCTCTGTGGTTTGTTAATGACTTGTTTTAGCCCAAAGCATTATGCTGTTCCTCATAAATGGGAACCAAACCTATACTGGGGTTTGTTGAAATGCCAGGATGAATGAAGCTTTTCAGAATAGCAAACATTTTTCTATGGCTTTGGACTCTGTGATTATGGTAATGCTGGGGAGAGTGGACGAGGACATTGGGTATACTGGGGCCACCCCGAATCCTATCTCCTCCTATACTCATATTTTAGATTCCAAGCTTCAATAACAAAATTGCATTGAAACCTTCGCTCTCTGATCGGTGGACTGCACATATGACCCACCTCTCTCTATTTGCTGTCTCTCTCTCTCTCTTTTTTTTTTGAGACAGAGTCTCACTCTGTTGCCTGGGCTGCTAGAGTGAGTGCCGTGACATCAGCCTAGCTCACAGCAACCTCAAACTCCTGGGCTCAAGCAATCCTCCTGCCTCAGCCTCCCGAGTAGCTGGGACTACAGGCATGCGCCACCATGGCCAGCTAATTTTATATATATATATATTTTTTTTTTAGTTGTCCAGCTAATTTCTTTCTATTTTTAGTAGAGATGGGGTTTTGCTCTTGCTCAAGCTGTTCTTGAACTCCTGAGCTCAAATAATCCTCATGCCTCAGCCTCCCAGCATGCTAGGATTATAGGCGTGAGCCACTGCACCCGGCCTATTTGCTCTCTTTCATGTAAGTAAGGACATGTTAGAAGAGACAGTCAAGCAACTCATGTTTGGAATTTTTATGCATACTAAGCTTACACGTGGGGATGAGGTAGATAGCGAGAAACCTTGCTCCATTTCATTTTGCTCTTTGCTTCTTGGACTTGATACAAAAATATGTGGTTTAGGTCTTCAATTTGTACTTGAAAGAAATTTAAACCACGGAAATCTGGAAGTCAATTTTAGCATCTGAGACATTGGGAGAGAATGATTTTTCTTTTCTGAGTTACTGCAGCAGAAGGAATCCCATATTCATACAAGGGGCTTAGTTATTAGGAATCAAACTTGAAATTGGTACCACTCGAGTTGCTTTGGGGGTGACTTTTTTGGGGGGGGGGTTGTTTGAAACTGAAGTATGATTATACCTGCTCAGCCCCAGATGAGCTAGGCCTACCGTAGACACACAAAAAATGCTTGATGATGGAATGAAAGAATGATAAACATCTGCCAGTTACTCAAACCATTTGTGGTTTCTTCTGTCCCGCAAGTGGTCTTCTGCCAAGACTTGTGTTTGTTTGCTTATGTTTTTGAAAATTGGATCAACCTCTGTAGTTTTGGCTTCTTCTTTCCTTTTTTTCCCTACTCCGGGAGACAAAGCCCACTCTTCTTATCTTGTGAGTTGCCTTCGTATCTGTGAGACAGGGCCAGGTAAATTGAACTTCAGGGATTTTGGCCTGGAATAAAAACTGAGCATTGATTCTTAGTCATAAGCAATTATTTATGCTTGATATTAATATGATTCTACTGTATCTATTTCTGTCAAGTGTGGTCCATATTTTTGAATTCCTAGTGAAATCTGTGATTGAGGAAAATACATTTGCATAAAATTTTTGAAAATACAGATTTGTATAGTAGATTTTTGAATTAATAACGTGGAGCATCAGTGGTGCAATTGGTTAGCATGTGGTACTTATGTGAATTAATAACTAATTAAAAAAAGACTTATGTTTGAGTAAGTTGCTGTAATTAGGCCCTGTTGATTAGTCTGGAAAAATCATTACTCACTGAGGGTGACTTCTTACTGATTCTAGGAGAAAAGAGCCCATGGTTTTAGTGCACTTTTAATCAAATTGATTTCCTTATCAGGAACAAGCATCATTTGAAGTGACGATTTTACCCCACAGCTTAAAGACTGAGCATAATGAGATTTCTCTTTGGTTTTTTCAACTTTGATAGGAGGGCTTCCCAGCCAGAATCAGCCTGGTTTGGTATATAGGCTTGTGAAATCTGGAACTGTCGTCTGCTAAATGCATGGAATAAAAGCTTGGCTTATGTATGACTGTCTTTCATACTCCAGTCCTCAGCCTTTGGAAAGTTCCATTGCTATCTCCCATCCTATTTCCATCCCTCTTTCAAATGATTAGAGAAAACACTGGCTCCCTATTTTCTTTATGTTTCTACAGTCTTTCCTTATTGTAAACCATTTTTCTTTTTTCCCTTCATTATTCCCCTGCCCCTAACTCTCTGAAGTTTCAAGGGACAGATCGGCAGTGGTAAAATTGGAGGATGAGCAGAAGAAAAAAATAAATCCAGTTTACATTTAAAATGTCCACTTGAAGCTCCAAAATTAAGAAAAATGTCTAAAAGAAATTGACGCTTTCAGGTGATGATAATCGCTATTATCATTATTTTTAACGATGACAATAATAATCCACGAGTAACATACATCAAAATCTGTATGGAAAAACACAGGCACGTATTTCTTTCAGAGGAGCAAATTTGGAAACTGATGATCAATGAAGTAAAGGTGCTTGTTATCTCAGTGTAGGTATTGTTGTACTGTACCGGGATGTGATCATCTTTGGTAAATAGAGGTATTTGTGAGCATTTGTTACAAAGGAGACTTCAAGTCTGAGATGATAACAATTGAGATATTATCAATTCCTATGAGATTAAGATTATAACATAATGACAACAAATCTAATTTCTCTGAATTTCAAAATTAAAACTAACTATAAGAACACCTTATAGCAAGTCATCCCAATTTATAATATTTGCTGAGGACTTGCTGTGTGTCAGGTACGGGGAGAAATGCTTTGTTTGTGTCATTTCATCTAATTATTTCCAATGCCATAGAGAGTAAGATTACTTTATTTTATAGATGAGGAAACTGAGGTTTGTAAGAGGTTATGTAGCTTGCTCAGGTAAAGTAAGGTAATGACAAGCTACAGGTGGCAGTACCTATTAGGGCTGTTTTCCATCTTAAAACAAACATTTGTTGTGTATTTCCTATATGGCAGGGATTTTCACATATGTTATTGCATTTCATCTTCAAAACAATCCTGTGGGGTAAGGCATGGTTATTCCCACTTTACAGACAAGGAAACTGAGGTTCAGTGAGGTCAGGGATCTTGCTCAAGAACATGTAGGTAGAAAGTCCTAAAGCTAGGATTGTAGTCCAAGTCTTCAGACAGGTTCCAAATCACAAATAGTTCTCAAAATTACTGAAGTGGCAACACACCTGGAAATCATGGTCTTCTTTGTAGATTACAATGTTCTTTCTGGAACTCGAGGAAAGAATGGTATAGTTATTTTCAACATATGACTAAGAATACTTTTAGTAGCAAAAAATAAATCTCTTTGCACGAAATGACAAATCAACCTGTAGAAATGATGCAAGTGTGCTGTTAAGATGTCCCTTCAAGGCCAGGTGCAGTGGTTCACGCCTGAAATCCCAGTACTGTGGGAGGCTGAGGCGGGAGGATCGCTCAAGGTCAGGAGTTCGAAACCAGCCTGAGCAAGAGCGAGACCCCTGTCTCTACTAAAAATAGAAAGAAATTAATTGGCCAACTAAAAATATATAGAAAAACTTACCCGGGCGTGGTGGTGCATGCCTGTAGTCCCAGCTACTTGGAAGGCTGAGGCAGGAGAATCGCTTGAGCCCAGGAGTTGGAGGTTGCTGTGAGCTAGGCTGATGCCATGACACTCTAGCCCAGGCAACAGAGTGAGACTCTGTCTCACAAAAAAAAAAAAAGAAAAAAAAAAGTCTCTTCAAGAGAACATGCTCTGAGAAATGCAGTGTATCGTCTGCTTCTAGCTGTTGCACCTTTGGGATTCTATACTTTTGGAGTTCCTAATTTTATGGGTCAATGTGGCTTAGGCTACAGGTTTTTTTTTCTCCTAAAATAATACTATATAAATAGTCCCAATGTATAATATTTTCTGAGGACTTACTGTGTGTCAGGTACAGGGAGAAATGCTTTCTTTGCATTATTTCATCGTGGACTTATTAGGTCTTCCGTACTGTATTATTACTTTTTTTGTTTTTTGAGACGAGCAGTTCTGCACTTGTTTTTGCCCAGCTAGAAAGTGCCAGTGCGTGGGCGGTCAGCCTTAGCTGCACAGGCAACCTCGCAAATCCTGGGGCTCGAAGGCAGCAATCCTCTGTTGTCCTCAAAGCCTCGCCCAGTAGCTGGGGGATACAGGGGCATTGTCGGCACACCGATGCGGCCGGCTAATTTTTTGGGTATGATATTGTAGGGTTGGCCAATTAATTTCTTTGTAGTTCTGATAGTAGAGAGGCGGGGTGCTCGTCCGCTTGCTCAAGGCGTGTTTCGAACTGTCCGGACCTTGGAGCAGATCCGCCTGCCCTCGGGATCCTCCTAAGAAGCTAGGATTAACAGGCGGTGGAGCCCAGGCTGCGCCGGCCTCATCTAATTATTGATGAAACATATCATATATATTCCAATGATACAAATATTTTTGTCTTCATCAACAGTCAACACTCTTCCCATCAACATGTTCTCAGAACATGAAATGTTCAACAGAAATCCTAACTAGAATGTCTTAGGAAAGAGATATGGGCTGTGTTTCCATGACCACGGCTGACGCTTGGTCGCCATGATTCCCCAGGGCTCTGACGTGAGTGAGGAGGACATTTGGCAGCAATTTTCTGTCACCACAGCTAGCATGAAGGTCATATCTAGGACATATTAATTGGATGATTGAATGATTGTTTGTCCTATGTAACATTAGGCAGTACAACCATATTTTGCAGAATATTTTCATGTTTCTTTTATTCTTCTGAGGAGCAGTTCGTCAGACTTCTGAGTGCATGGCTTGTCAGTGGTTGGAAATCAGTGAACACGTTTGGTGGTTTGCCATGGCATGTGTTAGTATCGGTTATCATATTTGAAAGGACCATCTCAGTTTTGCGTTCCTCCAAGGCAAGGTTGACCATTGGACGTAAAAAGCTGAGGCTCAGAGAGTTTGAGGGGTAATTTCAGGTTATGTACTGGCTGGAAAATAAGAGAGCCAACTGTGAGCTGAAGAAATTTAAATCTTATATCCAATCACTGTCCAGTGGATGAATGGCTTTTTATTATATAATAAAATATGCCTTGGAAATCGCGGCTCAACTGAACGCAGCCTCGTAAACCAACTTACTAGCGGTCATGGCGTGTGGCTCACGCCTGATAATCCTAGGCAGCTTGGGAGGCCGCCGCGCGGGGTGGGTTGCGTCCGAGGTCAGGAGTTCGAAACCAGCCTGAGCAAGAGTGAGACCCTGTCTCTACTATAAATAGAAATAAATTAATTGGCCAACTAACATATATAGAAAAATTAGCCGGGCATGGTGGCGCGCATGCCTCGTTATCCCAGCTAGCGTCGGGGCAGGCTGAGCAGAGATCCTCTTTGAGCCCAGGAGTTTGAGGTTGCTGTGAACTAGGCTGATGCCACAGCACTCACTCTAGCCTGGGGCAACAAAGTGAGACTCTTGTCTCAAAAAAATAAATAAATAAAAAAATAAAACACAACTACTAGAGTATGAGCTTCTCGAAGGCAAGCTCATATATCAATCCTGGTATTCTGGGCAAATGCACGCACACATGCACACATACACCCACCTGTGCAACACACATGCACACACAATGAATAAGCCCACATCTCATGGAGAAATAAAATTTTGTGTCTGTTGTTTTACTTCGAGTTTCACAGGGTCCCTATGTGCCTCTATAATTGAATTATATACACATAATAAATATGTTTATTAGTAGATAGAGCTTAATGTGAATGTCCAGGTTTCCAAATATTTTATGGGATTAGAAGTCTGGCAAATCAGTGAACACGATTCAAAGATATATGAGAATACCTTTTGATTTTGGTTGCAAGCTGTCATTTTGGCAAAAGAAATATATTGTCTAATTATTCCTGGGCCAAAGTGAGAAACTAACTGGATTTCCTAAGAATCATGCTTGTTTGTACCTTTCTCTTTGGAGACCCTGACTTGTTTTTCTTTGTCTTTTGATAGCACCACACTGGTTTCCCCGAGGGCATTGACGTTGACAGAGAAAGACCAAAGGGACCTTTGTGACTTCATCCAAATGTCATAACAAAAGTAAGGCTTAGCATGCTTCTGTGGGATTGGCTTTCAAGCAGGAACTGGGTTGTTTTGGAAACTCACCTAATGACATTGTTATTATTTCTCATGAGTGATTAGGTTGATAGATCAATCCCACTTGCATTTAGTGTTAATCCCTACAGGCGTGAGTGGGAAGCCCACCAGTACAGAAGCCATGTGGCCCCGAAGCTAAAGCTCTCTGCAAGAAAAATGTCACTTGCCTCTGATATTTTTCCATTTGGCTGCAAACCCCCCAAATCATGTTTTCTTAATAAGAACACCTAAAGATTTGGAACCATCTCTCATGCTGGGACTATTAACATATTTTGAAAAATTTAAAGGATACGTTTGCAAAGAACGACTGATATTTGTAAAAGATCAAGCAAGACACAAATGTTACAGGTATTAGGATTTATATGACTCGTACTTTTTTATTTCTTTTTTTTTGCCTGGTCTCCCTACCCTCCCATAATCTTGACAAATCCTTTTGAATTGTGCACTGCACACAGTAGGAGCTCAATAGATGGTTTCTGAATGTTGAATGGGGGAAGCACTTTTGGAAATAAGCAGACAGCTGGCGTGGCATTGTAAATCATGGTAGAAGTGTGCTTTTACAGATATCACTGGGGCACAGTCAAATCTTCTTGACCTTCTACCTTTGTAGATGTGTTTGGACTGATACTGAGAAGATGCTCGTTTGGATGGAGACGCTTATAATTTAGAGACATGATTTTTACCGTCTCCTAACACTTGACGAAGGTCAAGAGGGCAGATAAACAACTTCCTCCAGCTGCTGCTCAATCTGGCACATGCCCGCTGCAGAAAGCGTGCACCGAAAAGATAAACGCGTCAGGTTGTATCGCCGTGCACGCCTACGCTTTCCGCATCTGAACTTGACCCTTCGCAATTAATATTAAAACCAGGCTTGACATTAATGAATAAAAATTCAAAAGAAGTTGCGCTGAATTGAAATGACCACCATTCCCAAGAGGACAGATTTTTCTGCAGGTTTGGAGGTTGACTTTGATTCTTTAGTCTTGGCTCGACGTCTTATCTTTGCTGTTTCCTTCTGGGAACCGTCTCGTCTTGATTCCTGCACAGGTTCGGGTCCCTTAGGAGACCCTCCTTGACTAATGCTGAACATCAATTGTTCTGTCTAGGTTGATTTACGTATATATGGATAGTTGCCAAATTCGACTTCGTTGGCGACCTCTTGAGGATGTTGCAGTTTGCAGATTCTGTGACACTCTGGATATATTTAAAATTAGCAAGTGATTCTTTGAAGAAGTCATCAGACAGAACTCTGTACTCTTTCGAGTGAAATAGTCTGCTGGTTGATTCTCTTTTATCTTTATAAACACTACTGATGACTCAGAGCCTTAACAAGGCTGGGTACTGGATCCTTTCACTGATGACTTAGAAAACTATATTGTAAGGAGAAGGTACCCTTTGTGATGTCCACTCATTGTATTTGTGGCAAAGCTGGGAAGTCCCTCAATAAATAAAGACCTTTCAAGTCCAAGTCAACTTTCTTTCTTTCTTTCTTTTTTTTAGACAGAGTCTCACTCTGTTGCCTGAGCCTAGAGTGCCAAGGCATCAGCCTAGCTCACAGCAACCTCAAACTCCTGGGCTCAAGCGATCCTCCTGCCTCAGCCTCCTGAGTAGCTGGGACTACAGGCATGCGCCACCATGCCCGGATCATTTTTTTCTATATATTTTTAGTTGGCCAATTAATTTCTTTCTATTTTTAGTAGAGACAGGGATCTCACTCTTGCTCAGGATGGTCTCGAACTCCTGACCTTGAGTGATCCTCCCACCTCTGTCTCACAGAGTGCTAGGATTACAGGCATTAGCTACCTCGCCCGGCTCCAAGTCAATTTTTTATCCACTAAACCACAGCAACTTTCTAAAAAAGACTATCAAATATAGTATTATTGGTTGTCTTATTTGTTAAATAAGCACCCAGATTCCATTATTCTCATTGCTTGGAAACTTTAATATATTCCTATCTCAGGTTCCATAGATCCAGGTTTTTGTCTCTGCCTGTTAGACCTAAGTCTGTGAACTTCATAATTTTAATCACCCCCTCCTTTTCTTTCTCTCTCTCTCTCTCTCTCTCTCTCTCTCTCTCTTTCTCTCTCTCTTTCTTTCTTTCTTTCTCACATAATCATTGATCTAAGTGTGTTGGGTTTATTATTTTAAACACATCTGAATTTTCTAGAAAAATGTTTGAACACACCATTTCTCTTCGCCATGGCAGACACAGCCTCAGTGGTTGGTGGTCATTTCCATCTCGAACCCTGACCCAAGGAAGGCAGGTCTCTGGGCATGATGTTTGCACTCTGTTTTTACCAAATTGCTGGGTGAGCACTTTGCAAGATCACAGAGCGTCCTCTATCTCCCGATTAGCATTTCGAGAAGCTTGGCAAGCAGGATGGAGCCATAGGAGGGAAGCGGGCTGCTATTTAAGTGGAGGAAAGTCACTCCACGGCTGATAAGCAGAGCAGTGATAAATCATCAACAGCCCTTCAGCCTCAGCGGTTCCCAGTGCGGCTCTGGTGCTGAACCCCAGCAGCAGCTGGTGAACTTTTACTTTCACAACGACATGTGAGGGCAGCATCGGGGGAGAAGAAACGTCTGTGCGTGGTCTACATTTCGATACCTGTCAGTGGTTCCCAGATACTCTACAGACTGCAGGGTATTTTGCTGACGTACTTAAGACCAGAAACACAACAGCAGGAAATGTTAAGTTCAGAAGCCTTCTAGGAATAAGACTCGCCCGTCTATAGTAGAATATTTTTGCTTTAAGAAAGGCCAAAATATTGTTTGATAAACATTCTAGGTTTTGTATCTGTACCAAAGCTCTATGCATGCATGCTGTTGTTTTTTTTCAAAACATAATAACGCCCCACCTTTGCCCCACGTGGCTTTAGGTGACATGTTAACATACTAATAAAACCCCAGGAAATGCACGCAAAGACCCTTCATCTGTGAGGGGAGGCATGGTTTGGGGAGAAAAAGGGTTGGTGAGCCAGTTCCGTTTCTAGTTATGCTCTGTTGGTACCCATTTGTGTGCACAAGGACTTTCAGTATTGTGATGGCAGAGACTGTCCCCTAACAACCAGCGTGGTGGCTGGCACATCGCAGTTAGTAAATATTTGTGGACAGGCCGGGTGCAGTGGCTCACGACTGTAATCCTAGCACTCTGGGAGGCTGAGGCGGGAGGATCGCTCAAGGTCAGGAGTTTGAAACCAGCCTGAGCAAGAGTGAGACCCCGTCTCTACTAAAAATAGAAAGAAATTAATTTGCCAACTAAAGATATATAGAAAAAATCAGCCGGGCATGGTGGCGCATGCCTGTAGTCCCAGCTACTCAGGAGGCTGAGGCAGGAGGATCACTTGAACCCAGGAGTTTGAGGTTGCTGTGAGTTAGGCTGACGCCATAGCACTCTAGCCCGGGCAACAGAGTGAGACTCTGTCTCAAAAAAATAAAAACAAAAAACAAATATGTGTGAACAAATGAAAGTCTAGAAATATGCTTTGTTGAGTTACATGCCTGGCTAGTCTCATCGATGTCTGTTTTGGGTTGAGTTGCTGTAATTGATCAACGAGTGCACAGAATGATGATCAAGTCATGATATGGATGGATGTATAATATCAGGTTTATGGAATTAGGCTCTACTTAGCATGTTACTGATCGCTACTATGGTTAAATGCTGTGTTTAGGACAATGAGGAATATGACGAATGATGGCATGGTCCTTGTCTTCAAAGAGTCTTTAATCCGGTTGGGGAGACAAGCCTAAAAGACTTTCAATACTAGCTTATTTGCAGGAGTCTAAATCATACAATGTTACATCATCTATCCTAGACCGTGGGGGCTGTTATTTTCATTATCTGGTTTGATTCAGCTTTAAACAGTTCATGGCATGAAGTGGAATCATAGAATGTCAGAGTGAAATGGAACCTCTCAGAAATCTTTGATACCTTTTAGTCCAACTCCTTACTTTTTTTTTGTTCAGATGAGAACACTGAGAGGTTGAGTGACTTGGCCAAGATCACAGATCACCCAGTCAGTGATAACGTTCACTGTTCCCCTGGGATTTTGGTTCCAAAGTATGCTAGCGCCCCGGGCTCATGCCAGAAGTTTGCTTTGTTTCTAAACGAAGTCTCTTTGTTTTGTGATAATAAATCCTCTATTGCATAAATTCTGAGACTGATGCAATTTATACCGCTGCAACTCCTTAGCAAGTATGTTAGTTTTCACTGTGTGTATTCTCTCTCTCTCTCTGTCTTTGAAAAAAAAAAAATCCAAAATCAGCCCTTTAGGATTATGTCCATAATCTGCACCATGTAAGGAACACTGGAATTTATTGATGCCGTATGATATCTAACAGTTATATTTCTTGAGCCCAAATCCACAGGCCTCTGCTGTTTGCAAGTTCCACGTTGCGCAATCGTCACAGCCACCCTAGGAGGCAGGCGCCGAGGCTTAGAGAGTGTAAGTCACTTGTCTAAAGTCTCAGAGATAGCAAGTGACAGAGTCGCGCCATGAACCCAAGAAGTCGGGCTCCAGAACCTGTGCTCTTGCCCGCAGCTCCATATCACTTGCGTGTTTTAAAGGCCAGACTCCCAGAAGTTGGCATGTAGGTGTCCGCCACACCTCGGAGTTACTGGAACATTACAACACCCATCCAAAGTCGTGGCTGCGTCCCCCAGCTGGACTCCGTGCCCCCCCAGCTGGACTCTGCGTCCCCCCCAGCTGGACTCCATGTCCCCCAGCTGGACTCCGTGTCCCCCAGCTGGACTCCGTGTCCCCCAGCTGGACTCCATGTCCCCCAGCTGGACTCCGTGCCCCCCAGCTGGACTCCGTGCCCCCCAGCTGGACTCCGCGCCCCCCAGCTGGACTCCTCGCCCCCCCCCAGCTGGACTCCATGTCCCCCAGCTGGACTCTGTGTCCCCCAGCTGGACTCCTCGCCCCCTCCCAGCTGGACTCCGTGTCCCCCAGCTGGACTACGCACCCCCCAGCTGGACTCCGGGTCCCCCGGCTGGACTCCGCGTCCCCCGGCTGGACACCATGTGCCCAAGCTGGACTCTGTGTCCATGTGTTCCCTCTTCAAACATTTGCATCATTTCAACAAGAGAGATACCCACGCTCAGCCTAGCTCAGGGCATGGGTGAACCCGTTGGGGATTTAAACATACGGGTCATAACCTTTCAGCTCTCACACTTGCCTTGATTCTTTCTTTTCTCTTTTCTCTTCTCTTCTCTTCTCTTCTCTTCTCTTCTCTTCTCTTCTCTTCTCTTCTCTTCTCTTCATTCTCTTTCTTCTTTCTCCTTCATTCTCTTTCTTTTCTCCTTCATTCTCTTTCTTCTCTCTTCATATCTCTTTCTCTTTCTCCTTCCTCCCTCTCCTTCCTCCCTTCTTCCTTCCTCCCTTGCCTTTCTTTCTCCTTCCTTCTCTCTCTTTCTTTCTTCTTTCTCCTTCTTCTCTCCCCCGGCACCTTTTTCTTCTTTCTTCATCTTGTCCTTTCTCCTTATCTTTTGTCTCCTTCTTCTCCAATCTCGTTTCTTTCTTCTTTCTCCTTCCTTCTCCCGATCTTCTTTTTTGTCTCTTCTTTCTCGTTTTTTTTTCGCTTTCTTTTCTTTTCTTTTCTTTTCTTTTCTTTTCTTTTCTTTCTTTTTCTTCCTTCTTTTCTTTCTCTCTGTCAGGTTTAGTAAAAAATCTGGAAAAGATTGGATTGATTTGAAAATGTCCCAAAAATTACAGAATTTGCATACCTTATAGAACTGGTTACTTAGCGAAAACTAATTTTTAAGTGTTCCTCCTTTTCCTCAGCTCCCATTTCTTTAAAAAAGTAAAATAATGACGGAGAAAAGGGAAGCCACCTCCAGGATTTTGGTCAGCTCACTCACTGATCCTTCTAGAGCAGCCGGCCTGGAATGAACCTCCGCTGGCTGCAGAACATGAGTCTGTGACGTCTCACCCACCCAGAGGGGGCTTCCGATTTTATCAGGCCCTTGGAATTTAGCCTAGAACACGGGCTGTTAAACAGTCGAGGCAGAATAGAGAGGGGGCCCTGACTCTTAGGATGGGAGGGGGCTTCTTGGAGCAGGAAGAGTGCTGATGTGCCGACAATAAGGAAACAGGCCGTGTTTTTGTTTGTTTTCTCATAAAGTGCTGATGAACGAGTGAGGAGTTGCATTAAGGGGCTCGGAGGGCAAGCTGTGAAAAGAGATTGGGGTTTATCAGCCTTTTAGTCTGGTTTCCGTTGGAAAGAATGCGTGCGACATTGCCACCCCTTGTCCTGGCGCCCCTCGATAACTTTGACTGCCTCAAACTGATGTCAGCCCTTTCTGGCAGATGGAGGGAAGATGGGAGTTACTGGCTCCTTAATAATAATAAATGCAAATAGATGGGAGATAAAGCCAATTTCTACTCACTCAATAATTCCTTTTTTTTTTTTTTTTTTTGTGCTTATGCTTGAGAGTTTTCAATCTCTGGGCTCCTTTCAAGAGATCCCTAGGAAATTGGTGGAGTGGGTAGG